CCCACAAAAAGGTGGAGGAAGAGAAGGTTACTTTTCCTAATCCAGTTTATGAAATGACCTAGAACAGCTGAAGAGCTGGAAAGTTGCAGTGAATTGTCAGGTTTCACCAGGACTGTTACTTCTTGAGCTACAGTTGCTAGTGAAAGCCTTGTGTTACCAAGTCAGGGCAAAACCGAATTTCCTAGTCAGTGACGACCCTGTAAGAAAGCTCTATTTCTTTTTCCAGGAAACTAAAAAAAAAAAAATATCATACTAGAAGTTCTACTGTATTGTATCACCAGAAGCATAACACATCCGACTGTGTACACATAACATGTTACAAAGAACTGAGAAGTTCTAATAGGAGAATTACATGGAAGACAATAATGTATGAAATTTCTGAGTAACTAGGAGCTAAATAAAATGGAGAAGAGGATATTTCTCCATTAAATAAAAAGCAATTTCGAAGACATTTTAGATGCCAATTACTAATTAATGTAAAAAAAAAAAAACAACAAAAAAACCAACTCTTAAAACTGTATGCTAATGAGCTTGTTCCAATGAGTTAGCATTTATATAGCAATTAGTTGATATACTTGGGTGGCAAAAATAAAAAGCAAATGCGACAAAGGTGTCTAAACTATTGATTTACTATGATAACCATACAATTTGGAAGATAGCCATGAAAGCTGATAATTTGAAGTAATTACATGTGTTATTCAGAATGACTTAAACAGTAGATGCTGGAAAAAAGAAAGTTGTATTTTGTTTACTTGTTAACCTGATAAGCAAAAAGCAAAGGTGGTGCTAAATAGCTCACTGAAAAGAGTGAACATCTTTTTTCTCAGACAAATTAATTTCCCTGAGTTTCATAGTAAGTACAATTTCTGTCTTATGGATGTGTAAACTAAAGCACAGAATGGTAGGTAGTCATGCCACATCAGACCCAGTGAAGAAACAGAGAAGTCTGTAACTGAGGGTTCTGCATCTTCTTTCACTACTGAGGCAGCATACACAGAATGTTGCATTCCTTGTTACAGCCCATGAGAAATACGTGACTTGAAGGTTACATACTGATTTTATGCAAGCATTAAAAACTGAGTGGATAAAATGCATTTTCAGTGTTAAGGATCTATAAAAAGTTTTATTTTGTGATAAATGGATCAGCAAAATACCATAAAAGGCATTGTGCGATAAATCTGGGAGAACAAAATTACAAAACAGAAAAATAGGACTCTTTGGGGTTTTTGAGGTTTGGTTTTGTTTGGTTTTTTTGGTTGGTTGGTTGGTTGGTTGGTTTTAGTTTATAAAAGTATTAGTAACAAGGAAAATAAGAATATTAGTAAAATATGAATGAGAAAAATCTGGTAGCTGTTAGTTATATCTAGAATAACCTCAAAGAAAACTCATTCCTAGTAAAAGGCTGCGCTGCTGAAGACAGATATACACAGTTGCTTAGAACAGAGCACACTGATTGTGTCAGTCTAATCATATCTGTATGCTGAGTAGGCTAATTATTGTGCAACCAGGCCCTGATACTATAATTGGATCTGTATATACAGACCTCTGTTCTTGCTTGAAGTTCTATTTAATTAAAAGACACCATATACCTCTTTAAAGCAAACACCACCATCATTCAGCTTATATGCCTTATTAAAGAAGCAGCTGAAACATAACACATCCATTCAACAAAATCAGTCACACACAGTTTATGGACAGCACAATTCCACCAACTTCCCTAAAGTTGCAAGAAACACCAATGTGACATGGATCAGGAAGAATGCAATTTGAAGAAACTGAAACAGGAGAAAAGGGAACAGATAAATCAACCAGGGAAGTAAGCAGAAAATAAAAGAATGAGTAAAACAAGCGGACCAATAAAACCAAAACCAAAACAATCACCCCCATAACAAAACTAACAAAAACACACACACAAAAAAAACAACAACCCTAAACCAAAGAAAAAAACCCAAGGCCCAACACTAAAGACACTACAGGGAAAGTAGGAATTGAACTCCCAAACCCCAAGTTTGCCTCCCAGAAGTATTTTCCCTTACATTATCTTTATCTCTTTATCTCTTTCACTCTGCTTTGTTCCTGCCCTCCCAGGAAGGGAATGTTTAAATATTTCTTCCTTTCTGTTGCTCCCTGCATGTGTGAACAACTGGCTCACAGGCCCTATCACAAAGGATTTATTTCCTTTTTCAATTACAACAATCTATCAAATTTTCAATTGGCTTTGTGAACTGCAGTTGGAAATTAAATTAAAAGCATTCTTCAATGCCATCACAATCTAGATTATGGAGAAACACACTTATTTCTATTTTTACAGTATACAGACCAATTACAGGAGAACCCTTTTAGTGTTTTTAAATTACATTGTATATTTAAATTGTAACAAGAAACATGTGTACCAAGGGATGAAATTGTAAGGCATTTTTGACAATTTGACTTTTAAAGAAACGACCTTTCAAGGGATTCAGAAATTCTTACCTTTTTAATTTTTAAGATTTTGTGAAAATGTAATTAATATATGATATATTCTAATATACTGGAAATATTTATTATATCCTTGCATGTGTGTATGTATATTCTAATATATTAACACATATATTAGAATATATATAAAACATATAATCATCTATACATATTCTCTCCTACTTTTCTCATCATAACTTATTGAAATATCATCTATCTTATTATGACTAAAATTTATTTTTTCAAAAGAATCTTGCCCAGCTGTTAATATGCTGGATGGGTGGTTTTGATCATGGTGATCTGTCTTGCTTCTGTATTTCACAGGGGAACATAAAGGCAAACTTTTAAACACTCTTATATTATTAACAAAATCTACTGTTTTCAGTAACTTTTGGAAATAGGCTAATTAAATCACACAATACACTTGTAACTTCATTTCTTTTGCAAGTGATGATGACCATAAAACCGAAACCTGGTTTAAGGTGGAAGCCACAGGAAACCACAACTTTCTCACAATTTTTGCTTAAGACTGCAACTATTCCCAGATATAAGAATTCAGGCTGAGTTTGAGTGACATATAAAGTTGTGCTACAAAACCACTAAAACTTGGAGGTACACTAGGGAAATGAAAGTTCCCCCTTTCTACAAGATGCTTTCTACAACATGCTTTTCCTGCTTCTTGCCCTAACAGTCCCAAAGTAGAAATACAACATAGAGAGACACTTTTTGACCTGGACTAGAGGTCCAACCTGGTTTAAAAACTACCCTGTTTGTTAGAAAAAAAAAAAAAAAGTAAAAAAAAAAAAAAGTATTTTTTTAAGGTCAAGTTAATTCCCAAATACAGGATAGGGGCTAGCCACACTAGCAGCTGTAATAGCAGAGATGGGCTGGTATGCTACCATGTTTGGGGAGGGGGGGGGGGGGGAAGTGAGAAAAAGGTTGATAGACAGCAGTGTCTTGCAACTATAGATTTCACAACCTTCAGCTGAAAATGTGTCATTCTATTTTTAGGTAATAGGACTCTCAACTTAGAGCCTCTGATCAAGCCTGGGCCCCCATTTTGATGTGTATATTCCATGAACCCTAAAGTGCTCATTTTTGTATGTGCTCCTTGATGAAGGCAGGGATTGGACCAAGTACTTGGCAAACATGGGACTTTGGAACCAGGTCATCTTTCAGGTTTCTTCAAACCCAAACCGCTGTATGATTCTATGATTCTAAACTGCTACCTAACAGCTTCTTCTCCAGTCACTCCACTCATTTCCTACAGCAGGACTCAAAAGTTGTCCTGTCACAATCAAACCAAATACCTTCCAGCAGGTCACAGGACACAGATGATGGGAATCATGTCAGGAAGTGCTTGCAGCTGACTTGCTAAACATACTCTCATTACATGAAGGGAGAGAGGACTGGGAACTGTAATCATCAAAAGCCTATGTGTCAGGCCAAGTCTTGCACTGAGTGAACTCCAGGAGATGTAAATACATAACAAATCCCCTTGTTTCCTCTAAAGGATGCTGTCATGTACTGTGACTGTGCTAGGCACTGAACAAACAAAAATGCAAGCCTTCTTCCACTTCATGTCTAAGATTTCACATACGGGCACCGACCTGCAAATGGCTTTTGAAAGCAGATGGATCTGCCCCACTTCTAATATTATCTTGTCTTCACTACCTTTTAGCTTTTACTTTCAGATGTTGTGAGTTAGATTTTGTGCAAATAAGCAACTGTTACAATCTGCCATGCTTAACACAAAGACACTTCTTGTACACATTAATCCTTCCTGTTCGTGGCAGGGGTTTAATGGAGGGACTAATGGGGCCTCTCTATCCACTGTCTGCCTCTAAACCCCACTTGTGCACACTACCCATCTTTATCACACTTGTAACTTCCACATCATGTGAAGCACTGGCATCTCATACAGAATATTCTAGCTAATTGCAGTGAAGCTGTTTCTCCTTCCATATTCTTGGATGATTCATGTCAGGAGTGGTATGAGAAACCTCTGGATCTCGTATTTCTACAGAGACACAATACAATAAGTGTTTTATCCCAAAAACTGTGACAGGTCTCTATTTCTCACTTAAGCGTGTTGAAGTCCTGAGACTCACAGGACTTTGATAACGGCAAGACTTATCTTCTGACTCCTCTATTTGACTGAGGCTACATGTTTCTTTAATTCCATACACTGGAGCACACGAGCCGCCAGCACCGAGCTCAGGGCTGGCACACCCGTGACCGCTTCCCGCCGTCAGCGGCCGGCCAGGGAGCAGCCCCACGGCCTCAGGAAAGCTCCGGGCAGCCTCAGCGCCTAAGTACCGCGCATGCGCCGATGGAAGGAGAGGGGATGAGGGCGGAGGAGCTGAGGTAAGCCGAGTTGGGCGCGAGTTCTAAGCTGCCCTCACTCCGCCGCCCGCCGGCCCCCAGTACGCATGCGCAACCGCCGGCGGAGGGCAGGGGAGGGTTGGGGCGGGGCGGGGGCGGTGGCCGCTCGCTGTCACCCGCGCATCGCGCCTGCCGCCCCGCCCCGCCCCCCCGGCCCCTGGCGGGCACCGGCCCCGTTGGCCGGGCCATGGATGGGTTAGTAACTGCCGCCGCCGCCCCGCCGCCGGAGCCGCGGCAGCACAGAGGGGCGGGCGGGGGTCCGCGACCCCCCGGAAGGCTTCACCTGGTGTCTCCTGGGGCGGGGCGCTGCCTCCGGGGGTGGGGGGCCGGCCCGGCTCCGCTCCTTCCTCCCTGGAGCAGCGGGCTGGCCGCGCCGGGGGTGGGGAGAGGGGGGCCGAGGGAGGTTACCCCCCGCCCCCGGTGGAGGTAGCGCTACGAGGGGAAAGGTGGGTGTCGGAGGGGGGCCGGGTTTCGGAGGGGCCGGGCTCGGGGTGGGAGTATTGTCGCTGGCCGTTCCACCAGGTACTTGTGGACGGAGGAAGTCAGCGGCTGTGACCGGAGCGTGCTGAGAGACTGGGACCCTTCGCAGAGAGTTGTGGTATCCGGCGCGTTTGGGTTCCTTTCTTTCCACTTTCTTCTCTCTCTTTTTTTCTCTGTTTCCCAACTCCTCGTTCTCCTTTTCTTTGGGGGCGTGTTTCCTCCGTGCCGCTGATCGCGGCTGGCTTCTCTCCGGTAGCGAGGCCGGCGTCCGGTGCCGCACTGGAAGCGGAGCGCAGCTGCGGCTCGGGATGCTGCGTGCGCTGCGCCGCGGGGCTCGGTCCGCCCGCTCCCCCATGCCGCCGCGGGGCTGCCGGCCCAGGTGGTGCCCCCCGCTCGGGTGCTGCTGCTTGCTGTCGGGTTTTTAGCCGTACTGTAGGGTTACCTCTCTTAGCGTGCTGAAAAGCTCACTGGCGCGCTACTCTCGTAACGGTGAGCGGGCGTCGTGATGAGCTTTTAGAGATTGCAGTTCCATGTGGCAGCTTTAAAGGTTTATGCCTCAAGTACCTTAATGTAGCAGAAGAAAACACGGCGGTGCTGCTGTGTGCTGCGGTCTGCCGCTGGTACCTAATAGAGGTGCATATGTGGAAGTGAACTGATTGACATCCATCCTGCAAGGTTAATCTATAATCAGAATGGTTATTCGTGTAGTCCTAAATGCATTTTTATAGACCGTGCTGAAGGCCTTAAGTACACGTAAGTTGTTACAGTGATAAAAGTTTATACGGTATGTCGTCCTTGGAAGGTAAGAGTATTTTGGACAAGTTTGAGTCCCATTGCTGCGGTAGCGTGATGTGCACTGACTTCTGTCATATGTCTTCGTAAATTTTCTTAACTTGAAAGTAAATAATAAAACAAAGTTCAGTATGTGTACTGCTAACTTCCTTCACTAGTGTTTAAGGGCAAACATGATTGCTGGTGTATTTTTTCTTTGCCTATTGATGCTTCAAATTCCAAAGCTTGGGAAGTTTGACCACAGTGGGAAATTCGGCAGACCCAGGAAACTAACTATGCCTAATGTCAGTAAAGTGCACTACTGTTTCTTTTATTTTTTTCATCATAATAGTACACATACATGAAAACGGAAATTTAATGTGAATATGTAGGTATTAAGTTGGAGTGCGTCCTGGCCCTCTGTGACCTGCAAAATCTTAAGTGCTCTTGAAATCTAGGAATTCGGCAACAGAAGTTAGGACGACTTTTTATTCTCTTTTTTTTTTTTTTTTTTTTTTTCTCTGACAGATCAAAGCAGCACCACTCAAACTTTTCCAGCATATTTTCACATTGCTGCAGTGGAAGCCGTGATAGGGAAGCAGGTTGACAAAACCAATCTACCAATCTTGTGTAAATGCTGGTTAATGAGAAAAAGCCAATAGTCATAGGAAATACCTTTTTGGAGAACTTTCTTTAAAAATGTATCAGTATTTTGTTTTTTTTTCACATTTGCTTTGAAACTACTTTTTGGAAAATTTCAAAAGAAAATTAAGAAGGTTCTCACTGGAGTGAGAATCTGTTTTAATCTGTTAGCTGTGCTTATGAGTTACTTGTAATTTTACTTTAATCCCTTTGAGAATAATTTTTTATTTTCCTTTTAGTTTGTGGAATTGCTATCTAAACTGAGTGTATGGTTCTTGTCGTCTTCCTATTATCTTTCAACTAGTATGATGAGTTTCTTATGCAAACTTCTTTAAGTTTTATAAAGGATTTGTTATTTCAGTTGAGAGAGAATGGAGAAAGGTATGCATTAGGCAGTGTACTGCCCTGAGATGCTAATACTAAACTTAAAGTTGATATTACTTACGTTTCGAGTAGAAATAGTATGAGCAAATGTATGTAGTTCTTAAAATGTACATAACATTGTAAAATAGCACCTTCCTAATAAACTTGCTTGTCAGAGAGTAAGGCAAAGACGAAGGGCACAGTAAAGGTGAATCAGCTAAATGGAGTTTTTTAAGAAATTTTCTGAAGCGGAGCTTTTTAGGTGTTCTGGAAATAATACAGGTGTCTGATGATAACTGCAGGTTTGAGTAAGCTCGGAATTGTTATATGTTGACTGTGACAGTTCAGGAAGATGTGGTTTTTGGTGATTTGAGAGTGGTTTTTTTTTTTTTTTTGGTAAAAGATGCTAAGTACTTTCTGAGATTTCAGGCTGTTAGTTGAGGATGCAGGCTGTTAAAACTGTGATTGCCTTACCTAAAACATTTTGTAAACCAGCTTGTGACTTTTTTTTTGTCTTTCCTTTTTTTTCTTTATCTTTCCTTTTTTTTCTTTGTTAAATGGCCTTCAAAAGAGGAGGAGTAAAAGAAGTAAACTTACACTTCATTCACTTCATTTACATTAATACAGAAATTAAATACAGGCCTTAATTTATTTCTGTGGGATATTGAGGCTGATTTAGATCCAAACCTTATGTGTAGAGAGGACAACAATACATAAACACAGAGAAACAGTTTTTATTTGGGTCAGGAAGATTTTCTAGAAAGCTGTAAAAAATCCACTGCTTCGTGGCAAAGAATTTGGCTCCTTATTTAAGATTATTGCATTTGGTGGAAAATGTGATTCAAGTTCACATAATTAAATTTGAAGAAGTTACTAATGGTATGAACTACACTATTTTGTTGATTATTGAAGGCAGCCCAGTTTTTTTAACTAAGGTTAGTAGCTTCCTTGTTGGCTAGTAAGGGGAAAAAGCCAAGACCATCAGTAAACGCAGTAGCGGAATTTATAATTGCAGGTTAAATTCAGCCCACTCCAGTAACAGATTAAATCTTCAGGTTTAACAATGTTTCTGAATTTTGGAAGATGATATTCAAGCTGTTAGAGACGTCAACCACCTGCACATTGTTATCCTTAGGTTTCTGGCTTGCAAGCCTTTTTCGGATTTATATAGGTAGAATATAGATAGAATAAAAGTATCCTGTAGTTGCTTCAGTCCCTGTTTCTAACCCACCTTGAGTTAAGTGCTTCTGAAAAATATCTAATGTAGACTTAGTATGAATTGAATTGTTTCTCCTTACGAATTGGCGGTTCACTGAACAAACTTGTTTACTGTTATTATCTGATATAATCTGAAACAGGAATCACCTGTCACAATCGGACACATGAGAATAGCAAAATATGAATCAATCTTGTTTCCTTACCACTTGTCAAGCTACTATTTATTTGATTTTGGTACCTGGTGGGGGAGATAAGCAATTAAGTATGCTGGGTTTTACCAGGAAGTATTTATTAAGTTTGATGCTGAACTAATCCTGTGCTAATTGAAGCGTTCTGGAGGTATTAGGTGGTACGCACAAGTGTGTTTTGGTTGACTTTCTTTTAAAGGGTGTCCTGATTAAACAGTATTGTGTCAAAACATGAGGATGGGAGTTGGTTATATAATAAAAGTGTGCCTACATCCACTGTTTCAAGGTACAGTTATTAATTCTTTCCTTTTGCACTCATTAACAGTTGCATGGAATTGATTTTTTTTTTTTTTTTTTTTTTTGCCCCCCCCCTCTCATTTCAGGATGTGATAACACAGCGTATCTTTTCAGGTCTGCAAATGTGACTTATGCTTCAGTAAGAGGCAGCATTCTGGACGCCGTGTTGCAGAGTGGGTAGGTGAAAAAGTATTTTGATTGTTACTGTTGATATCACTCTTCCCTGCTCGTGCTGTTTCCTTGTTAGCTGAAGTTCTTCAGACTCAGGACTGTTGCCGGAATTGCAGCACCAACCTCAGCAGTGCATTTCTGCACCCCCTTGTGGTGTAGCAATTGTCATGTGTGGACTGTGTAGTAAATTATTCTGTTACCATGCCGCCTTGCAGTTCTTAGTCACTGTAGGGAAAGCTGTGAAAATACAAAGGTGGGGAATGGCATAATTGCCTTTGCTCACTCCAACTGACCAGGAAACCACACCCAACTTTTCCTGAAAGCCAGTGTTATGAATGCTTATATGATTCAATAATCTAACCATTATCTTTGTAATGAACTTTCTTAATCACACTGTACTACAGGTAATTTAAATTGCTGCCATTCTTATCCATTAAATGATATGGGGTATTATAATAGCATTTAAAGTCCAGGACAAGACTGATCATTCTGTCTCAATAGGAAATACCAGAAGCAAAGGAATCAAAACAATGTTTCTGTATGTACACTCTGTGAAAGTATGCATGCAAGGATGCATACTACACATGCCAAGTGTATGGTGGGGTCAGTATGCCCTAGTAGGATCTTACCGTTTAAACAAAACATTGCAATCTCTTGGGAGTATGGTTGCATTAATCATGGGAATAAGAAAGATCCAAACCCTGTTTGGAAGTAGGCAGAAATAGAATCTCTGTCTTCTGGTTTGGGATGAGACCCAGTGAATCTGGGGACTGGTGACCCTTTTCCTGTCTTTAGGTGGCACAGTAGCTACATGTTCAGTGGCGCATGAGAAGGATGTGAAATACCTCCCAGGTGTTACGAAAAGCAGCTCTCTGCAGATCTGTTCCACTGCACTTTGCAGTGATTTGGTTAAGAGTATCGCTCCAACTTTTGGCTCTTGCTTACTAGGAAATTTCTAGACTGCAATACTTGGAAAAGACCATAGATATTTTTGAATAGAGGATTCAAGCACATTTTTGCACTTGTCCAGAGTGACAACATAACTTCAGGGGCTGCATTTGAATG